ACCATGTGGTCCTGTTCCCTGTACCATGTGGTTCTGTTCCCTGTACCTTGTATCAGACAGTACAGTCTGATTTGGGTCCAACCTTCAGGGAACAGGAATGTAAAGTAGAGCAGTGGAAGTCGCTGAAGTTTTTCAAGATAAAGGATTTTAATTTTAGCTTGATGTGGGATTAAAGCTTCAGTTCTGGGCCTAGAGCTGGAGGAGAGTGGGTCGGGTCCATGAGTCCAGAGAAATCCGGTCTATAAAGGAAGATACAAGAGATTACTTGAGGAACTCAAAAATCACCAAGAGGAGGTCAAAGTTCACTGGACTGACCTCAACAGTCAGAACAGAGTGATGTCTGAGGTCAGGGCTGTTCAACTGACGGCCCCGGGGCCAAATCAGGCCCACGGGTGAGCTCAGTTCGGCCCAGCAGTGGGTTCATTTTGAAATAAAACTGGATTTTAAACCATTAAGTTCTGGACCAGGAGGAGATCATGTCTCCAGGTGAGACCACCTCCACCTCAGGAGGGAGAATGAGGCAACAGCTGCACCTTCTGGAAAATCTCATAACTGCTTCATCGCTCACATTCTCCACCTACAAAAACAAAAACGGAGAGAAAGAACAGATAAACCTTCGTGGACTGTGACAGAAATGTCTTTTTCTGGTGTTTCATGTGACAAGTCAGTAACTTCCTGTTCTGAGGAGACAGTCCTGAACTCATCAGAGTCTGGGTGTGTGCACCCTGGGGGGGTTTAGAGGAAATCTGGGTTAACAGATAAATGCAGCTTGGGCTGGTGCTAACTAGCTGAAGCTAACCTCTATTAGCATCAGCTAGTTAGCTAGATTAGTTCTACTATAGGAACCCAAACTCACTGTCTGGAGCAAATTATATTTGTTAATGGAGCCAGCCATGTTAAAACTTTTTTTTTACTTAGTACATCCTTAACCAGAAGTCCAGTTAGGGCCTAACTGGACTTCTGGTTAAGGATGTACTAAGTAAACCCTAACAACTTTAGGGTTGCCAAACTACCAGTGGTGTAGTCTACATTTTTGTACTGTGCTTCGAAACCATAGTACACCAGTTGGTACAATGTAATGGTCAGTTTCGGTTTAGGAGATTTCCAAATTCCTCTGATGCCGATATTTGAGTAAATGCACAACAAACTTTGTACAACAGTTGGCTTTGCATTGAAAACATGTTCTAGAATTTATAAAACAGCATCAAGTATTAAGTAGTAAGTACAGAAGTATTAATTATAAAATAATTTGCTGCGTACAGACAGATTGTTACAGAAGTGTTTAACTGCCGTTTAACATATCAGTGACATGTGTATGTCATGTATCATTGGCCACTTCTAAGTGGGTACACTGAAATTCTCAAGCTTTTCTACTGGGGATACTCCGTACGGCTGTGTACCATGTAGACGACACCACTGCAGAGTCCCCCAGTTCAACAGATTTAAAGCGTTTGACTGGTTTCCTGGCTGCCTTGCTGGTTCTTCTCCTGTGGAACATTGTGGAACAGATTAAGCTCTCCTGACCCAGCGCCTGCCACGGTGTTCGTTATGAAAGAACATCTCCTGCGTTTCATAAGAAACAGAGGGCCTCTTGTCTGAAAATGTCTTTGTAATGAGCTCGGGTTGGATCGCTCTAATCTTTAAAGCCTGGAGCGCCTCACATCTGAAGACCAGCTTCAGCCACATTTTAACTTTTGTTCCAGCTTTTTCTTTTATTTTTGTTCTTTAGGCTAACGTGAAAAATGACCACGGCCCTGAGGACGGTGTACCACATCGCAGGATTCAGCTGGTACGCGTTTGTTGTGAAATGTCTCGCAGCGAAGGATGGAGCCGAGCTGCCGAAGGGAATATTTGTTTATGGAGGACCGTGGAAGTATCTCACTTTTCTAAATTTGGTGAGTACATTAGCTGTGGTGGAACATCCAGTTCCAGATCCAGTTGGAATTAAACTTCTGCTCCTCATGAGCATAAAAGTCAAAATAATTTGAGTTTTAATGACTTATAAGTGTTCGTCCCAGGTGGAATGATTATACAACAAACAACTTCAATGATTTAGAAAAGTTTGTTTTTAATCCTCACGTATACTCATACACTCCCAGCTAATACTTAAATGTCTCCTAGTGTCACTTGGACCTCAGGCTTTTTGTCTCCATCAACAAGTTTATGGAAAATTATTCTGGCGACCGTTGTAACCGTTCTTCTTCTTGGCAGAACTGACAGAGTTCGTTGAGCGTGGTTGGTTTTCTGCGCATTGCGTCTTCACCTCATAGTTGTTGTGTGCACGTAATCACGAGGAACTAGAAAGTAGAAAGTTCTGTATTTTACAGCGTATAAGTCGCATCAGTCAAAAAAAGCATCATGAAGAGGAAAAAACATGTAGGTCACATTTATTATGCATTTATTTAATGGTCAAAACAGATTAATTTCACCTGGGCGACGTGGCACCATCCATCCAACCATACATCCAACCATCCATCTATCCATCCAACCATCCATCTATCCATACATCTATCCATCCAACCATCCATCTATCCATCCATCTATCCATCCAAACATACATCTATCCATCCAACCATCCATCTATCCATCCAACCATCCATCTATCTATCCATCCAACCATCCATCCAACCA